AATCCCAAATACTAGTAATTTGGAATTTTGGCGTCCCAAATCCCAAATGATTTGGGATTTGGGCAACACGTATAATTTTGACTAGTTTTAATCTGACACAAATGTTAGTCTGAGGCACAATATATATAACATACCCAATAACATAACCTACCTTAACTATTTTATTGCAATGGAAATTAGTTATGATCACCAAACCAGTATACAAATATTGTTATCGAATTTGACTTTCTAAAGAATATACAAATCATCTATTTATCAAAATAATTAAAATAGATTACTAGTATATGGTCAATTTTTTGAAATTGATTACTTTTGAGTGTGATCAAATTTATAAAACACACTACCTTCAAGTGTGGCCAAAATTATGATATAGGTCACATATTAATGTGGTGATTAACTATATATCCATATTGCCAAATCTATAAAATACACTATATTCAAGTGTAGTTTAAAAAGTAAAATGCATCACACACCTGAGACTATAATAGTCTAGACTAAGTCAATTTTAGTTTATATAAATTAAAATCGACTAATGTTTTAACAAGAAATAAATTTGATTATCAAATAGGAACTAATAAAATATATTATGAAAAATTCTTATCAATGTTTTCTGAATTTCTTACTACATTATAAAATCAAACTGTAAATACACATTAATTCCAAATAACTCACTTTAACAATTAATTTTTAGAAATATTAGATAGATTATTACATTCTTTTAATGAATAATTTTCAATTAATCTTTTTAATATTATACAAATACAATTGCAAAATTTATTAATTCTTCCTTATATACTGTATTTCTAGAAACAGCTATATTAGAATTACCTACTGATCAATATCATGCTCTATCTACAATTACAATATATATAAAAAAAATAATGGAAATAAAAGGTCATATTATTTTATAAAAAGTTTAGCTGGTACTGGAAAATTATATCTTTTTTATATGATACAAATCATTTAAGACAAAAAAAATCAAATTATTTATTATTAGCTTCAACAGGAATGGCAGCTCAAAATATAGGAGAAAAAACAATTTATTCTGAATTATACATTATATCTACACATGAAAATTTTTATACTTGTATCTTTAATAATAGAGAACTTAAAGCTTGATTAGAAAAAATTGATACTATAATTATTGATGAAATATCTATGGTTTTAGCTAAACTATTTGACTTTATTTCTAAAATTTTTACTACCATTTATCAAAATTCAATTGCTTTTAATGGTATAAATGTAATAGTGTTGGAGACCTATTTCAACTTTCTCCTATAACTGGACAACCTGTTTTTCATGCAACTGCCTGGAAATTATTTTAGCCTTTATTTTTAAAAATACCACAATGTCAAAATAATGATATCCAATATTATCATATGTTAGAAGAAATTAGAACAAATAATATTTCAAACGAAACTTGGAATACATTACAATAATAACATTTTGAATTTTTTTTACATTCTGCTATTGATATGGTATTAAATACAACTCATATTGTAGGTTTTCATGAAAGTGCACAACAAATTAATAGAATGATTTGTAACATGTTACCTGTTGCAAATAATAAATTCTTAATTTCACAAGCATTAGATTTGGTAAATTCAGAATCATGGAAATCATAGAATGTATCTGATTCTGAACAAATGTTTAAATCAAAAACTAATTTACCATCATCTATATGATTACAACCTGGGGTATGTGTAATATACCTTAACAATTCTCTAATTGAAAATGGAATCTGCAATGGAACAATTGGAGTTGTTACTGATGTCAACCTCCAAGAACAATCAACAAGAGTAGCATTTTCCATTAAAGGTTCAATAGTAGATATTCAAATTCATAAGCATACCCATTATTTTGAAATTAATGGAAATAATTGTCAAAGGATTCAATTTCCATTACAAAATTGTTTTGCTATGACTGTTCATAAAACTCAAGGTCTCACTTTACCAAAAGTATGTCTTGCTTTAGATAAAAACATTTTTTCATCTGGTCAAGCATATGTTGCTCTAAGCAGATCTCCAACCTGGAATAATATTGAAATATCACATTTAGATAGATCCGCATTTATTACTGACCCTACTATTAAACTCGAATATTAAAGATTAGAACTTATTTCTGAATCCAGACCCCGTTTATTTATTTAATCCTATATTGTATAACATTGTAATTTTTTAATATAATCAAATAATAAACATATCTGTATTACATTACACCAGTCATGTTTTAGTGATGGGTGGCTACTAGAAAAAAAAAATACTCGCTAGTTTATTAAATTCAAATATACATTATGATAATTACACAAATTCAAAAAAGATGCAAACTTAAACATCTTATACAGTACAATCTATTTTTGTTTCATTTTGTTTCTGGATCCCTTCATCTGAAACGTTTCCGATAAATCCTCTATCCTTCTGATAACATTTGTGACATATTATTTCCCTATCAGGCACACCTTTAATTGAAAATCTAGAAGCCCGTGGAAGATAAAGCCAACTGGAAGGCCACCATTTTATTGTGTGAGTCACTGAGCAACGCGAACATTTTTTATTTGAAGGGTATAATATATTCCGTATATATTTAGTTTTCTTTAAATTTTCGTTATTAGTAATAATCTTACTTTCTTCTTCACTATCATCAAAAATATCAAAAATATCATCGTCGTCGTCTTCATCGTCATCTGAAGACGTAAATTCATACCATTCCTTTTGCGCATTCAATTGAGCCATAACTTGCTCTGGAATTGTAAGATTATATCTATTTTTCAATTTTTCTTCTCGTTTATATTTGTCATATTTCTTTTGCTTTTTAATATACGTATAAATGGCGGACTAAATAAAACAATGTTTTAGAATTAATTAATTCATATTTAAAATAATAAATTACATTCAATAAGTAATAAACACCTGATGTGATTGAGGGCCTCGGGTATTTAAACTGATAAAATTTTCAACCTCTCCATGTTCTTCACAATACACTTTAGAAACAAGTTCACCTTTAAAGTCTTCAGAATCTTCGAAATTATTAGGATCTACTACAACTGCAGCTGGAGGACTTATTGGGAAAATAGATTTAGATGCCAATGGTCTTTTTATTAATAAAGAATTAATTATCTGCGTTGTTTGTGTTGTCTGTTCTGTCTGTACTGTCCGTGTTAAATCTATTGAATCAACTTTTGGTGGTCGTAAAGTAAATCCAATTTTATAGCATGCGTTTTGTGCACAAGTTACATGAAATCGCTTTTTACATTCATCACCGGAACATTGAATGCATACACCACCAGACTCTTGACATATTGAACAAATCTGTAGATTTATTAAATATTAGCATTTAATGTTTGATCATTGTTAAATTTCAATTAATTACAAAGATTATTTTACCATTTTCCACCTTTTTGCATCTAAATCATCGATATCCATCACTAAATATACCTTTTCTGCATCATAAAATGAGGTTTCTTGGATAAATGTAGCGCACAAAACATGCACCCAATTATTTCCATTAGTCCTCTTCATCGCATTGTTTTCGCCTTCTGGTAGATTACAGAGAACGCATTTTTTGATCTAAAACCAACCAAAAAAAAAATTTAGAAAAGAATGATTTCCCATAATTAATTAATAATTATCACGCACCTTAATTGCATTACGAAGGTGCTTATTAAGACATGGATCACATCGCCAACTTCTTCCTCGTGGCTTAAGGGTGGTTACTCCATAACAGTCTGCGATTGATCGAGATGAATAAATATGTGTCTAAATTATGTCTAAATATTCTTTAGAAACATACCTTGATGGACACATACTTGACACCCTACACATACAACTAATGAATATTGTGTGTCCAAAGGTTCAAAGCCACCACATACTTTGCAGGGATCTTGTGGAACAAGGGTTTCTGAAGGGGAGGGTGGTTCTGGTGTTCCATCGGATTCCTCAGAGACTTCATCGCGCCGACGTTTTCGCTGAAGACCCGGTGTTTCGGGTGGTGAGGGTGGCTCATTTATTTCACTTTCAGAATCGAAAGAAGAAGATAAATCATCTATCTCAGTAAGTGATGAGGTGCTTGATTTGAGAAAGGGACTCGAGGGCGAAATGTTTCCATCGGGGTTAGAGTTGGTAGTCGAAAAGTTTATTTTAACAAACATTTAGGCTAACTACAGTCGAAATATATTTGAAAATGACTCTAATAAAGTAGTAATGTCGAAATGTCTAAATATTGTCAAATGTCAAAATGTCAAAATATGATATAGTAGTTTCTCTATTGATCATCGTTCCCAATTAATTTGTCTTTACTAAATAAATTTTTTAAGGAGGCACACAAAGATTTTATAGCATAAAATGAAAGGATTCAATAATTTCTCCTTTTTCTGAAGATTATTTTATCAGTAATATCACTTGATTTTCTTTATAGTGATTTATCCATTTATGAATAAAGTAATTCAATTTTCTGTCTTGGTTTTTATGGAAAGCACAAAATTAACATCTAAACAAGAAGTGTAATTTTTCTTTTCATATTATAAGCAATTTTTTATTTTTATTTATTTATTTTTTTTATTTGTTTTTATTTTTTTTATTTGTTTTTATTTTTTTTTTATTTTTTTATTTTTTTTTTATTTTTTTATTTTTTTTTTATTTTTTTATTTTTTTTTTTATTTTTTTATTTTTATTTTTATTTTTTATTTATTTTTTTTTTTATTTATTTTGTTTTTTTATTGTTTCAGTAATTCTGCAATTCACAATTATCTGCAATTCTTCAATTATCCACAATTCCTCAATTATTTCACAATTCTTTAATTATTTTACAATTTCTTAATTATTTCATACTTCCTCAATTATTCTTCAATTTTTCAATTATTTTACAATTCTGCAATTTCATAAGTCTGTAATTATATCACAAGTCTACAATTATTTTACAAGTTTGCAATTATTTCACAATTCAATAATATTTTTTACTATTGACAAGTCATTATATTACTAGTGTTACAAATACAAAATTGGTTTAAAATTTTAGATTTTCACTGATTATTTTTATAATTTTTATATCCTTCCAATTTGTAAATAGCAATAATTATTGATTCTTGGAAGAACTTAGTTAACACAAAAAAAGAAAGAAGTGTACTACACAAAGATAAAGAGAAAAAGGGAAGAGAGAGAAAGAGAAAGGGAAGAGAAAGATACAGGTCAAAATTCAAATATCAGGTATTTATTAAGTATCTATTGGATACCTAATATATTTATAATATCGAATACTTATCAGATACCTATTAGGGAAGAATAATTAATTATTACTAAGTATCCAATAATTAATTTTATAAATTTTATTATATGTTCAATATAATAGTAATAGGTATGAGATAATTTTTATTATTATCTCAAGTTCCCAATATTGTCTTGAATATCAGGTACATGATATTAAAATACACTGGTCAAAATCTGACATATCATGCACTTATTATGCACCAATCATGGTGTCCGATAGGTACCCGATATACATCTTTTGACACATATCGGGTACTCAATAAGTGTCGTCATATTCCCTAATATCGGACACTTATCAGGAACTTATTGGCCACATATCGAACACCTATTTTTTAGCTATTTTTTTTATATAAATCGGGTACCCGATTTTTTTATTCACTATCGGGAACCTATCAGTAATATATCTCCCTCCTGATAGGTGTCCGATACTTTTATTTATTATTGAAAACTATTATAGATATCCG